TAGAAGAGAAGAGTTCATGATGTTTCTTCGCTGAAATTAATTTATATTTCAAACGTATCACGTATCGAAAAAATTACTATTCAATATTTTTTTTTCGTTTAAATTTATTGGAAATATTTTTTTTATTTTATTTTTCTTTGCCCTCGATACTCATCTAGGAGTAATATTTTAAATTTTTCAAATTTTAAATAATTTCCAGGTAAAGGGTGATAAAGGAGACGATGGTTTTCCTGGAATTCCAGGACAACCAGGAAGGGAAGGTCAAAGAGGACCGCCAGGACCTCCAGGACCACCTGGACCACCATCTCAAGGAAATTATATTCCAGTCCCGGGACCTCCAGGACCTCCTGGACCACCAGGTCCGCCCGGATTATCTTTAATCGGACAAAAAGGAGAGCCAGGAATCGGCAGAAGTCACATCTTTGGTGAAAGAGATTATTATGGAGTTAGACAAGGTAAGAAAATATTATTAGGCGTGATAAAATAATATCAGAACCTAATAGAAATCTATTTTAATCATCGTTATACGAATATAAAGCAAAAATTTATCTACAATGTTGTTCGTTTAACATATTTTTTGAATATCTATTGTATTAATGATTCGATGCTTATGATTTAATTAAAGATATTGTTAAAAATATATAGAAAAACATAAATTTATAATTTCAAAGTTTAATATAAATTTTAAAAATACAATATCTTGTTAGTTCAAAGTGTTAAAAAAAAACACGTTCCATATCCTACGCTGCAAGGACCAAGAACTAGTCTAGACGAATTGAAAGCACTGCGGGAATTAAAACAATTGAAGGAACTAAAAGAACATTTAGGTAATACATGCTAGTTTTTAAATATCATAAAAAAAATCCTAAAAGACACATTATTTTTCTTCGTGTATTCTGAATTCAAAAAATTATGTAATAAAATTTAATGCATCTCTAAAACTATCTTCTAATTGTCTATAAAATTTTTATAAGGTGCTGGAACAACTGCAACCAGAGGTCCTCTCGAAAGCACAACGAAGATTGTACCAGGAGCAGTAACTTTTCAAAATACCGAAGCTATGACGAAAGTAAATCAACTCTACCGCTTAAAAATTCATTTTGCATAATTTCGAATAATATATAAATGCTTTAATCTTGTTATATTTTTAGATGTCTGCCGTGAGCCCAGTTGGAACATTAGCTTACATTATAGACGAACAAGCACTACTCGTTAGAGTGAATAATGGCTGGCAATACATTGCAGTTAGTATAAAATTTTTCTATATATTGTATCATAAAATTTTTATATACTATCCGAAAAAATTATATAAATTCTAAATAAAATACAAAAGAATGTTTCTTTAAATTTATTCTTTTTCATTTTAAATTTAAATATCCTTAAATTCAAATTTTCAAATTTAAATTATGACACTGAATTAATATATATCTATGCTTGGTATTTCTAATTTAAATAGATTATAAATTAAAATATTCGATTGTTAATAAAATTAAAATATATATCTTGTTAAATAAAATTTCTTTCTATCATCATTAATATTATTCTGATAATCTGAATTCCTTGATCTTATCCTTAATCTAGTGTTCAATTATTTAGTAATATCCTTCCAATTCAAAATATTTATACTATGCATAGTTGGGCTCACTTTTACCAATAACTACACCAGCACCACCTACTACATCACCACCCCCGGTAAATCCACCTTTTGAGGCTTCTAATCTGATCAATCAAATACCCGTAAAAGCAGACGGAACAGGAGTGAGTATATATATCTTAATGCTGTTGAGCGTAAAATTTTATCGATAAAAATTAAATTAATATATTATCTAATTTTGATTGAATAATCTTCCTACTATGAAGTGGTATCCACGAATGGTAAGACATCAGCACGATTAATTTTCTCATATTCTTTTCTTTTAATTTTTGTTGTTAAAAATGCTTCATTCAAAATGTTTGATTTCATTTCATTTCCGAGGTAAAAAATTTTTATATTTCTAACACTAACAATAAATACACAGGAATATCACATTGATATTACAATTTTCAGTTACGAATGGCTGCTTTGAACGAACCCTTTACCGGGGACATGCACGGTGTACGAGGAGCTGACTACGCTTGTTATCGACAAGCGAAGCGAGCTGGTTTGAGGGGTACATTCCGCGCATTCCTCAGTTCTAGAGTTCAAAATGTTGACAGCATCGTGAGGCTTGGAGATCGAGATTTGCCTATCGTTAACATAAAGGTAATTTACCATCTAAAATACATCAATTCTGATATAAAATTTATTTGTGAAAAATTCTTTCAAGTAATTTTCTATGAACGTATCACATGTATTACAAATTACTTCTTGATTCGTCAGGGGGACGTTCTCTTCAATTCGTGGAAGGAAATGTTCAACGGAAACGGGGCCTATTTTTCACAAAACCCAAGAATCTACAGTTTTAATGGGAAAAATATCCTCACTGATTTTGCATGGTAAATAAGATAGAAATAACATCAATAGAAGAAAAAATTTTAAATTTTTCTAGAAGATTTATATCTAACATAATTTTTTTTAAATAAAGCAACTATTTTTCAATTAAAAATGTTAATAATTTATAACAATAATGGTCTTTCAAGAAAAGAACGGATAAAAATAAAGATTAATAGAAAATCACTTCAAAAAAGAAAGAAGACATTATATTGTTAAAACAAATTTTTATCTAAACGATTCGATTAAAATTATATTGTAACATTATAACTCTATCAAATTTACTATAATTATCATTTTCTGACATTTCAGGCCAGAAAAAGTGGCATGGCACGGATCACATAAATTAGGAGACCGAGCAATGGACACGTATTGCGACGCTTGGCATTCAAGTAGTTCGGATCGTTATGGATTAGGATCACCGTTAACAGGAGGACGTCTCTTGGAACAAGTTCGTTATTCGTGCGACAACAAGTTCGCGCTACTCTGTATAGAAGTAACCAGCGAGACCACAAGGAGAAGGAGAAACGCCGAAATTGTGGAGGACGAGGACGAGATGTCGGAAAACGATTACAAAGAATACTTGGATTCTCTCATGGAAGACTAACCTTTATACCACTTTCTTCCTAATCTTTTATTCCTTTTTTCTCTTCTTCATCATTATCATCTTCTTCTTCTTCTTCTTCTTCTTCTTCTTCTTCTTCTTCTTCT